CGTGGCCGCTTAATTCTCAACCACACCCGGAGTGCCCTGTCGTCACAATCCATTCGGGCCCTCATGTGCCTTGGGCAGTGGTCACGGCTGGGATTCATGAAGACGGAGGATGTGTGGCCAGTTGTCCGAGAGAAAGATATTCCTGCAGATGAGGAGGAGCCAGAGTTGGAAGATGGCTGGGACCATATCAAGCTCGTAGGGTAGTCAACTTAACAAGAACCTATTTAATCATACTGTCCTTCTTGATTATATACAAGTATCCGTGGATATATTCATATCCGTATCCGTGGATACGGGTACACAGCCACATCGGATATCGATACAGATAGGACTGGCCATACCCAAGGGTATACCCATGCCACTCCCTAGGGCCGACACCGTTAGTCCGATGGCTCATTCGCCGACTGCCGGCAGACTATTGTGCCCTTCAGAACCTCGCACCCACAGTCACATTGCCAGGCAACTGTTGTCCATTGTCAATGTGAACTTGTGTTGGGCCTGGCATTCCCGACACGGCAACATGCACTGGCAGACCGACTCCGAGGGCCTGTCCGCCGGCGGACGTCTTGCAAGCGCAAGTGCCGCTTATAAGACGGCCCAAGCGGACATTGTGCATCCATTCCTGACGTGTTGCGCAATTTGGCAGTCGTACTAAGCATCATCCCTCCCCTGAATGCTGGCTCGGCCACGCCAGTTCACATTTCGCCGATGCCCAACAATTCGCCGATGTCCGAGTCGGGCACCGTCGTTGGCCCAGCCCGGGTTGGGGCTTGACCGGCACTGGGACCAGCACCAGGCTGATGGTTCGCCGAAACTGTCAGATGTCCGGTTCGGCCCAGCTCTGTCATTCCCGCCTCGTCCTTTCCGCCAGTGGTCAGCCAATGAAAGCGTAGCGGGGGCAGCCTATTCCCGAGCTCAGACGGGTCACCGCCGCACGGGCCCGAGCCCGGGCCCGCCGGCGAAGGTGAAGGGCCGGTCTGCAGTAACAACATTATCAGTAGCTTGCCCCGGCACTACAGACCGACGCCAAATCCCGCCTGCCGGAAGCGGAAAGACGGGAGAGCCCCAGAACCGCGGTCCGCGAGCGAATGCCAGTGTCCAACTTATGCCGAGGCCCATGACGCAGACCGACTCCGAGTGCCCGGCGGCGTTGTGAGATGGCCCGACGGGACGAGGAGTGACGAGAGTAGTGGGACTGGGACTCGCACAATGGGATCCAGTCCCACTTTGATGGCCCCAGTCCCACTCTCGCGGCGCCGAGAACACTTAGCCGAACACTAAGAAGACAATGTGAATCAAATATCAATCAGAAAAAGATGGATTACGCACCGCGCAGCGGGCCTACGCGGCGAGCGGCAGCCCGCGGCAGCGTGGGGTCCGGGGCAAAGCCCTGGTCGGGGTCACCCCGGCCGTCGCGGCCGGCGCCGCCACCCCGTTGAATATGATGATTACACAGTTAAAACAGAGGAAAAGACAGCCGGAAGGAGATCCCACGCTCCGCGCAGCGGGCCCCGCGGCGAGCAGAAGGCCCCCGGCAGGGTGGGTCCAGGGCAAAGCCCTGGTCGGGAGTTGCGAAAATTTCAGCAACGTCACGCGGATGCACAGCATCCAAAAAGGAAATTCATGCACGTGATGCCGCCTTAGGTCGGGATTGATGCGCTTCACAGGGTGGCATATCATTAATATTATACTTAGCAAGTTGACTGAGAAATTAGAATTCATTGTAAATATTTATTACATGCCGACTACAGTGGTTGACAGGCGAGCTTAACTCAGTGCAGCTCAACGGCCGACAACCACTCGCCCGGCCCACACCGCGAGCGCCGGGCATTCTCCGCTCGCCATCCCACCATCAGTCATCCACTCCTGGTTCACGATCCTCTCCCCAGCGCCCACTGACACACGTTACACCTTTCTAACTCGGACTCCCTTCCTTTGGCCGGCCTCTGATTTGCGGACTCCGAGTCCTCCGCGACCCGGCCCCGCCAAAACAGCAGACTGTCCAAGGCGGTGACAGGCGCGCTGCATCCCTGCCAGCGATGCCACCAGGCCCCGCGGTGTCCGAGGGTGCTTTGCATACGGAGCGCGATGGGCCATGCCACCCCACCCCAGCCTGAGGAGTCACTGGCGGTCTGGAGATCAAGCGCCGACTCCGCCGCCGCGTGTTGGAGAGGTTGGGTGGCGGCGCGATGCCACGGGGGATTTGGGGGAGAAGCCGGTTGGATGGGCCTAGTGATGCGGAAGGGTGGCAATTGGCGGTGTGGATGAGGGTAAAAGGAAGAACGTCAAGTGTGACTCAGCAGTCACTCATTGCGTGATGGGCGGGCGGCGGGACCATGTGATGCCATTACCCGTTTGGGAAGGCATGTGACGTTGCTGAAATGTTAATACCTCTGGTCGGGGTCCGGGGTGGAAAACCCCCGGCCGTCGCGGCCGGCGCCGCAACCCAGTTGATGCGACATGCGTCGATCCATCAACTCGGGTGATGTGTCGTAACCGAGTCCCACTCCAGGACCTCGGAAATGGGACTGGGACCAGGAAAAGTGGGACTCGAGTCCCATTGTACCAGTCCCAGTCCCATTACTCTCGTATATACTCCGACGGGACACTCTTAGCTGGAGTATGCAGTCATCGCCGCGCTAGGCGGGAAAATACTCGAGTTGCGCTGCCGCTGCCGTTTGATGCTTTGCCGATATCAAATCTTTTGCCGGCACTGGAACCATTTGCCTGATACTGCCCGACGGATCATTGCCGACCGGCGACCGCTGCCTGTCGTTCCCCAAAAGCCGACGTCACTTCGCCAGCCTGAACCGGGGTCGGCGATCGAATCTTGTGCCGAGTCTGGCATGATCAAATTTGGACTTGGTCAGCTGCTCAGCTCTTCAACCCCCCACCTCGACCTCAACTTCAGGCTCCGAAACCACTCCTCGCACTGGCACGGCTGCGGTGGCAAATGTTTTACAAGCGCAAGCGTTGAATATAGTATAAGACACGGTCACCGCGAGCTCATAGTACGGAAATCCTCCTCCCCCGGGCCGTCGGCAAATTGCCTCCATGACCAACTTCATGCCCGCGACTCGGACACTGCGCGTCCATCGCAATTCGGCCCGTTGGCGGCGGCTGTTGCCCGCAGTGTCGCTGTGCCAGGGACCGGGCCCCCGGCCACTGTTCTGCCAAACTCGTTTGCCGAGTCCGTTGGTCGCCGACCGCTTCTCGGGAGTCGCGGGGTCGGACTTCCTGGTTCCACCATACCACCAGCCGCGGGGGCGGCTCTGGCAACCAGGCACCGGGCGGCCCTGAACCGATCGTTCCACCCGGTGCCGGTGCCGGTGCTCACGCGCATTCCCGACTCCCGAGGCCCGAGCAACTAGTCTATTAGTAGTCAGGGGCATGTACAACGCTGATTGCGCTGCCCTGTGGAAACCCCACACCTGGCGTCATCGCGGAGCCGGATGATGAGAGATGACCGTGACGCGGGGCGGCGACATATCGATACCGAGACAGATGAGGCCGAAGCAAGGCCGAAGCCGATGGACTCGGATGGAGCGAAATCAGACGCATCGGCCGGGGCCGACGCAGGAGCGAGTCGAACACAATGGCCGCCGACCCGCTGCCAGAGCCCAAGACTGATGCCGACCCCGAAGGAGACGACCTCCCCTGGCAATTCCGGTCCCCGGAGCCGTAACCGTCACTGAGGCTAAAGCCCAAAACAGATGCCAATGCTGGCCGAGGCCGAGGCGGATGCAAATGCGCTCGCAAAGAACAGGCACACCAGCCGCCTTCGACGCCAACGCCAACGCCAACGCCAATGCCAACGCCGAGGCACGGCTGTGACTATGCTTGCGTACAGGTGTAGCGTGTACGGGATGTAAAGTCGGTCATTGGGGAACTATCGGCGATTTGCCGGCGGGAAAAGCCCTTCACCAGCTGGCCCGGGCGGCAGTGAGGCCGAGGCGGGGATTGATATATTGAACAGCTGAGCAGCCGACCGAGTCCGGATTCAACAGGCTCGGCAAAAGATTCACCGACCCCACTGGTTCCGGCTAGCGAAGTGCGGTCGGCTCTCGGGGAACGAGGGCGGTTCGCCGCCGCTTGGCGAACGAGCCGTCGGGAGTGTCATGCAACCCCCGGGTTGGGAATGGGTAATGGCGCCGGCATTGAGGGATAGAACCGCGAAGCAGCCGACCGAGTCCACATTCGACAGACTTGGCAAAAAGATTCGATCGCCGTCGGCTTTCTCGGGGAGCGATAGGCAGTGCGCCGGCGATTGGCGGTCGGCGAACGAGCCATCAGGCAGTGTCGTGCAAACAGTGTCGGGCAAATGCTTTTGGGAAAGGGATTCAATATCGGCAATGCATTAAACGGCGTCGGCGGCGCAACTCGGGCATTTCGCCGCCTGACGCGGCGATGACTTCATACTCGGACTCCAGCTCAGAGCGTCCGGGCGGGCCGTCTTATAACGCCGCCGAGCACTCGGAGTCGGTCTGTGTCCTTCCGCGTGTGACATATCCGCCGCCGGCGGTGGCGGGCCTCGGGGTCGGTCTGTATCGCCGGTGCAGCGCAAGCTGCTGACAACGTTCTTCTTGCAGGCCGGGCCGTCGCCTCCGCCGGCTGGCCCGGGACCGTGCCAGTGCGGCGGTGACCCGTCTGGGTTCGGGAATAGGCTGCCCCCCGCCATATACATACGTTCATTGGCCAGCACGAGGCGCGTATCGCCGAGCCGGGCGACCGACGCGGTCCGGGCCGGACATCCCACAGTTTCGCCGCGGGCCTGGTGCGGGTCCCGGCCGGGTCCCAGCGGCCGCGCGTCGCGGACGATGGTCGCCGGCATCGGCGAATCGGTGGCCGGCGCAACGCGCACTGGCCGGGCCGGCCGACACACAGCGCGGGCCCGGGGATGACAAAGTACTTGGCATGACCGCCGCAGTGCGCAGCCCGTCGGGAATGCCAGTGCCATCTTCGGAGCTGCCGATAGTTCGTTGTTCAGTGACCTGATCAGCATGCCATCGTTAGCAGGCAATACCGCTGATCACGACATGTTCGACGGCCTCACTGGCAACATTCGAGACGCGTATCCCATGTCACATGATGGTGATTTTCACCCTGGACATCTCCCCGGCAACGATTTCGCACCGCCAATCAGACCACCCTCATCTCCAATCAAATACGATGGCGGTTGGCCCCATCACTATCTTCCCATCCCACATCCCAGTCCCTCGCCACCGCCAATGCTTGTGGCGGCGGCTTCAACAAGTGCCACACTACCAAACGGACCGCAGGCTCCTTCCAGCCCAATCATATATGATGGGGGCTGGCACCCGCACCGTCTTTCCCTCCCATCTTCCAGTCCCTCGCCGCTGCCACTGCTTCCGCCAATGCCAAATGTTGTCAGCGGCACTGGCAAACGCAAGGAGCGAGCATCTGAGATTGACCCGTCCTTGATCCTTTTACCGCACGTGACTCGTAAGCGCCGAAAGCCGATGAATGCCGATGGAACGGAGGTCGAGATAGCGCTTTAGTGCACCATTTATTTATTTGATTCTCCATGGCTACTTGTTGTCTACTTTGATAGTCCGGGAATGAGAATCTTCTGTTACATCTGTCTCCACTGTCGCAACTGTTTTTGGACTGTGCTGTTGCATCTGTGCCTGACTGTCACATCTGAAGCTAAATGTCGCATCTAAATGGCTACCCAGAGGAAGTGTCACCTCTGTTTTCCTGCCTGTAGTCGCATCTGGTGTGTCCCGACATACTGAGGAAGCCGGCGCCACCACCGCCGGTCGCTTGACTCGCGTCGCGGTGTTCTCGCGGGGATATGCGTCAAGCGTGACGCGGTCCACCGTTCACATGCCCCCGCCCGCGCGAGTCGAGTCGCGTCCGGGCCCGGGGCGTCGATAACCGGCCCTGACGCCGGCGCCGGCCCGCCTGCCCAGACGCGAGGCTGGTTTCTGGCCCGCTCCCACCACGCGGAAAGCTCCCCTCCCGGTCCTTCCTCCCTCCCCGGTCCCCTCCCGCTGCACCTCGGCGGCTGGCGCTAGCCCACGCGCGTTTTGCCGCTCGTATTTGCCGCTCGCACATTCCCGCGGCGTCATCCCCGCAGACCTGGCTTCTGGCCCGCTCCCTCAGGCTCCCACCACGCGGAAAACTCCCCGCCCATTCCTCGCCTTCTTTCTGTCCCCCCGCCCTCTGCACCGCGGCGCCAGCCCGCGTCGTCCCAGGGCCTCACATATTGCCGCTTCTATAGCCCGCTCGCATTTCCCGCTCGCATTTCCCGCCCCTCCTCGCCCCTCGCCCCTCGTCCTCATCATCCCCAGGCCGCGCCCGCTCGCGGACGCCGGCGGGTGCCAACGCACAGGACCCCGCTGCTCGCGCCGACCAGCAGCGCATGCCGGCGGCTTCCTCGCGCATGCCGTCGGCTTCCTCGCGCATGCCAACGCGTTACGCCGCCAGTGCCGGTCCGCGAGCCAACGCGCGGTCCGCGGTCAGCGGTCTTGGGCTTGGGCTGGGGCGCAGTTCGTCCGTTCGTTCGCGCAGACGCGGACGCCGACGCCGACGACGGGGTTAAGGCCTCCAACCGCCCACCGCAGGCCCACGAAGGGCAGACAAGCAGAGGCGCCACCCTGGCCGTCGCCCGCCTCCCTTTGTCCCGCCCCCCCTTCCCCCTCCCCCCTCTCCCCTTCCCCCTCTCCCCATCCCCCCAACGCCCTCTCCCGTCCGCCCCTCCCTCCTCCGCCCCTTCCCTCCTCCGCCCGCCCAGAGCCCGCGGGTACGTCATACGTCACCGGCACGCCGGCAACCGGCAGCCTTAACCTTAACCTTCCTTTCCCTGCCTGCGTCCCTGACCGCGTTCCCCGCGCGGCCGGTCCGCACCCGACCCTGACCCTGACCCACCGATGTGGATATGATATCGATATCGATGGCCGCGCAGCAATATCGATGGCGATGGCATCGATATCGATATCGATGGCGATGGCGGTGGCCGCGGCCCGTCGCCGCGCCCGCACGGCGACTGGACACGGGATGTACTCTCGCGGCGTGCGGTTGGCTGGGCTGCTGTCGGCGGGCACGGGCGCCGCGATCGCGGCGGAGGCCCGAGGCCGAGGCACGTGGCGCGATCTCGGTGAGGAGGGCCCGGGGCGCTCGCCCGGCCGCCGGCGACCGGGGCACGGCGTCGGCGTCGGCGACGGCGATGGCGGGCGGGCGCGTGGGGTCCTACCAGGCTGGAGGCGCACGTGCACGGGCCAGAGCTTATGGCGGGCGGGCGACGCGTCCGCGGCTGCCGCGCGACGCGTCGTTGATTGCACGTGACAGGCGGTCGTTGATGGCACGTGCCCGGCGGGCGGGCGGGCGGGCCGGGTCCGTCGGGCCTGGCGTTGCGGCGTGTAGCACCGAGGTGGAGCGCGGCGCCGACGGGGGCGCGGCAGGGCGTTACGGGGCGATGCAGACGGACCGCGTGGGGTGCGCGAGCGCGAGCTTAGCTGCAGCTGCAGCGCGGGGAGGGAGGGAGGGAGGGGAGGAGTCGGAGTCGGAGCCGGAGGTGGCGAGGCAGAGTCCGGGTCAGAGCGGGCTGGGCTGGACGTGGGCGCAGGCGCAGGCGCAGACGGCGGGCGTGATAGGGGACGCAGATGGATTGGACTGGACTGGACTGGACTGGATTCAGGTGGTAGGTTGGCTGTGGTCACACTGTGCAGGTCGGTGGTGGCCAGCGTCCATTCTATACTCCAGCGCATCTCCAGAGGGGTGGAGGTGAGCAGAGAAAGACGTCTGCGCCGTCCCGCACTGGCAGCGCCCCGACGCGTGCAGACGAACGCTGGGCACGCGCGAAAGAGGAAGTGCTCGTAGCCCGTGCCGGCCGCGTCCGCGTCACAGGTGGTGCACAGCACAGGTGCGTCACGCTTTGCGTTTTCGACTCACGCTCTAGTACGGCGCGCTCACTGTTGCTGCACAGTGCACGCCGTCCCCGCGCGCGGGCGGCGCACGCGCACGCGGATGCGGAAGCACGATAACGGGCGCCTTCTGGAATGTAATGGATCGCCTGGCGAAAAAAGCCTAACGCTGATGTGGGTGTGGCGGCGGGTTCAGGGTCGCGCTCAGGGTGGGTGGGTGGGTGGCCTGCTTTGCTCTGCTTTCTTCGCTCCCTCCCACCAGCAGCAGCAGCAGCGATGCTTGTGAATCACGACGAGCAGGCCGCCGCCCTCTCTGCCGCCGCCGCCCTCTCTGCCGCCGCCGCCCTCTCTGCCGCCGCCGCCGCCGCCGCCGCGAATCGGGCTGCGCGCCACTGGCAGCCGGAGCCCAGCATGGACGTGGCCACCGCACACTCGCACTGCGACGACCCGGCGCCCCAGCGTACACGCCCGCGGACGTCCAGGTGCGCTGTTCTCCCTCCCCCTTCTCTCCGTCCCTGCCCTCTCTTTCCTCGCGCCTTTCGCTCTTCCCCGCCCCGTGCATCCGTCGATCGCTGATCCGCCCCAGCGCTACCTGGGCACCCGCCCCCGCCCCCGCCAGGCACACAAAATGGCGTTCCTCGCGCGGCTGCGCGTGCGCGTGCGCCGCGCGCTCGGGCTCGCGCCGTCCGCGTGAGGCGGCACAGCCGTGGAAGCCTGCACCTCGTCGCCATCATCATCGTCGTCCTCGTTCCGGCCACTCTCGCGTGCTCTGTTGCCCCATCTATCGCTCTCGCTCCGTTCGTCCACCCAGCTGCTGTCCGCCGTCCTCTGCTTTTGCCCGCGCTCTCGCTCTCCCGCCCGCATACATACATATACCCACGCCGCGCTGCATTCGTCCCCGCACATACTTGGCATCACACATATACATACACATATACATGCACATCGCATCCCCCGGTGTCGGTACATACATACATCGCACAACTACGCAATACAAGTAACAAGCCACTCCACGCCCACTGACGATCGAGACACACCTCCCGCGGAAGCTGCACCTTCGCGTCCAGGCGGCGGCGCATGCGAACGTGGAAATGCGCAGAACTCGAAGCAGTGCGCACGCACGTGCCTCTCGTCTCCACGTGCACACGTGCCAAAAGCGGGTCCGAGTCCTGGCATTATAGCATGCCTGAGACGCCTCCAATCCCAAGTGAATACGACGCCGTGACTTAGAATGCAATATATGTAGTTATCAGTTTTATTTGATCTCCATCAACTCTGGAAGATGAGAATGGATCTCCAGCTATGCGTGGTGGATAGAGCTGAAAAGAAAGTCATTCGAAAGGTCTGCCATCCTGCCATTATCTGACCCATTGACTCACATCATCTGTTACCAGTCCCTCAATGCAGTCACTGCCAGGCATGTTGGGCTACTGAATAAGGGAGCATTTTGCTGATACCCTGGCACTGCATCCATGGAATTCTATGATCCAACCTGATATAGCGACATATAATGATACACTATCACTGGCGTCCGACCCATTTGTGACCATACAGCATGCGTAAGGGCTAGTCAATTCCTGCAGACCTTAGGTGCCATCCATATAACCCAGGATGGAGATATGCTCGAGGGGCAGGGGCACCACCTTCTGGGAGGGGGACCATACCCCTACTAGTGGATATACTCAGCTTCTTCAGACTTATAGAGTGATAACTAAAGCATTGCTGTTTTCATGATAGCCAACAAATACACACATCTTTGTGCTTTGTCCCCAGATTTCCTAGCCTGTTTTGTGTTGAAGAGCAAAAAGTGGGGGTGAAGAATCTATTATCTAAACTAGGTACATGGGCTGAATTTATAGTACATGAGATGCGCAGCGCGCAGTCGGCGCAGTCCGCAGTGCACAGCCGCAGTGCACAGCCGCAGTCCGGAGTCCGCAGTCTGTAGTCCGTAGTCCGCAGTCCGCAGCCGCAGTCCGGAGTTCGCACGTGATCAGTGCTCCATCAACATTTTGCAGCTGGAATTTTTGGATATGCTCTACGACCCCAACGGTGCAGTCGTTTGATATTTACAGGCCGATCATACAGTATTGTATGAGGAATGTGATAATCCTTAGAAGCAGTTAGGGTCCTGTTCACTGTATAGGCAGCAGCTACCGTGGCCCAAGTCCAAAATTTGCAAGGTAACCTAGAATCAACTAGCATTGTTACAGTCACTAATCAGCTAGCGAAACATACCAACTAGCGAAACAACCTGTATTTTTTATTCTTATGTTGTCCTATCCATTTCGGAATGAGTCACTACCCCCATTTTCGAGGTCGTAGAATCCAGGGGTAGACTTTTTGGCCATCAAAAGATGTCCTAATTGGGTAATTTCATCAAAAGACTGTGATTTGGCTTGATTTCACACATCGGCGGGCTACGACACCAACAAATAATATAACAGATGGAGTACTCGGGTAGTAATAGGTGTTAGTATCACAAATTTAAACGATCTGGAGCATGTATACTCCGTTTTGAGCGCTTCCCACCATGCCCTGCCCCGATGTCTTCACTTGCCTGCCTCTTCCTTCCTGCCGCCAGCCGATATTCCTCGTCAGAATCGTCCGTAATCTCGGGAAGCTGTCCATCGAAAGCATTCAGCAACTCGTCTTCAGTGTCGCTGGAAGGTGAATTGATAGCGGCGTGATCATGGAGTTGTGAATTGGTGAGGTCACCCAAGGGTCGTCGTTGTGGGTGAGTTTGTCGACCAGCCTGACGAGTAACTCGTCCACGTCCTCGTCCTCTGCCCCTGCCTCTCCCTCGCCGCCCACGAGCTGCTTCACGGGCGTCTCTTTCCCGCCTCATGCGTTGCAGCTCATCCTGATCATACACCCGACTCGTTCCCTTTGGCCGACGTCTATCTGTTTTTGTCTTGTCAGAGTCCGTAGACTGAAGCTCCCGAATTCGAACAGCTTGGATGGCGACGCGAGCCTCGGAGTGATTGAGTTCTGACAGAGCGTCCTCGGCAATGCGAATGGCGGACGACGGAGTACTGGGTGGAGACTCTTTAAGTGCGTTAAGTCATTGTGTGATCTCATTCCGCTCTGCTTCTCGATGAGGCACTGCCTGCGGAGGTTGCTCTGGAGCAGGGCTAGGAGGATCGTCGTAGTATTTCCGCATAAAGTCGAATATTCGGGGGTTATATGGATATATGCCGGTCTTCTCGAATCCGCGAACAATATTGGTGCGCGTGAGAGCGGCAGCTCGCGCCTTGGGCAAAATCCTAAGGCAAAAATTAAGAAAGGCCATGTGCAAGGGTTAGATTACGCACCGAGTAAAGTCTCTCTTGGTAATCCGATGCCCCTGCTTCACTTCTTCATCCGCTGCACGACCGTAAGCAACTTGATAGTCCTTGAAAACAGCGACGTCGAGCGGCTGAAGAAGACCAGATGACTTCGGTGGAAGTCCTACGCAAATGATCTTGTGGGCCCAAGCGTAGTCAACAAAGCCGTCAGCGAGATGGCTTTCGTGGTTGTCAAAGGTTAGCCCACGCCAGTCGCCGTTTGCACTGGAGAATATCAGCACTGCAATGAAATCCCCATAGCACACCAACCGTTCACAAGTATCAGCCTCAAAAACATTCTCCAACCAGTCGACGCTAAGCTCGTTGTCAGTCCAACCATTTGGAGATGCAGCGATCCGTGGGTTGTCAAGACCTGAATCTTGCACCCAGCTATAATTGGGTCGCTTTCCCTTCATGATGATGTATGCGCGAGTGTATTCACCGTTTGTAGACCCGCAGTCGATGCTCGTCATCATTTCCCGATTGCCGTCTAAAATTTGTCGTTAGATTGAGTACAGGACAGCAGAAAGCAGGGAGACGCACCTTGGGGAACAGTAGGTCCATTTGGACGTCTTCCTAGCTGCCGGTCCAGCTCAGTCCGTCTATAAACAACCACATGCTCGCGAGATGAGACTCCGAGCATGAACCCTTTCTCGTCCATGTTGTACAAATTTTCAGGTTTGACGTTGTAAGGTGGTGAAAAGATGCGTTTGATCTGTCTCGTTAGGTGGAGCCAGAGTCTGAGTGGAAGAGACATACATTGCGATAGAATTTAGCAATTTCCTCCGTGTTATTCTCGGCACGCTCTGGCTCGATGTCTTTGCGCTGGCTTAATGCTGTACGGAGATTCGGATGGCGGCGCATGAATCTCTGGAACCAGTTCTTCCCCAGGTACACCTCCTCCTCTGGAATTCCTTTCTGCCTTGCAATAATAGCACGCGCTCACGCCATGAGCATCTTTGGGCGTACATGAAGCCCCCACTCATCCAGCTCGCCCACCCAGTTCACCAATTCGTCCTCGCCATCCTTCCCTACCGCCTGTCTCCCCTCGTTTGCTTCTGACCTCGTTTTACGGCCATTTGCGTGGTGCCAGACACTGGCGAACGGTAGGTTGACCGCCTGTGCTGCTTCCCGGTATGTCGCCTTGCCGGAGCTGACCATCTTGACTGCTTCTGCCATCCGTTCTTCCTTCTCTGCCTTCTCTGCAGCTGTTTTCTGACCCTCAGAGCCATTAGGACGCGTCATGATGGTAGTCGTCGCGTCTTGAGAGTGGTGCGACACGAGAGCAGAGGTCAAAAAGTAAGATGATGTCATTTGACGTCGCCGTTTCGCTGTCACGTAAATGGCCGAAAATTGACCGACTCACAAAAGTCTTCAGTATGAAGCAAATACTGGGCGCAGGGGGTTGAAATTTTACATACTTGTAGCCTACACACTGCTACTACGACCCACCAAAAATGAAGATGTTCAGCCAAATACTCCTTCTGAAAATTGCGGATTCGCTTGATTGTTTCGTTAGCCGATTAGTGACTGTATAGCTCTAGTCACTAAAGTTTGATTCATTCCTTCAGCAACACTATTTTGTTTAGATGTGTATGGAGCTGTAGTTTCATGAATGATTCCTTGGTTTTCAAATTCAATTTCCATCTGGTTTGAGGTAAATTGTAAGGGCAACCCTGGAGGCCTGAGATCAAGGTCCTAGCAGGGGAGGATCCAAAGAGAAGAAACTCTAAGGGTCTGCCTGCTAGGGAGCTGACTATATACTGCTTGTCCGTAGCTGCCGCTGTCGGGCACAGAAGGCTTGGGCAGCGCGTCGCAGGCGAGGTCCCAGGGCGACCGTTGGGAGGGTGTTGACGGATCGGTGATTGTGCGGGCGAGATGGAGGGCCGGACCGGAGTTGGAACCGGAATCGGACCGGAATCAGATGCGTCTCTGGGCCGAAAGGGAGGTTCCCCTGACATAAATTCACCACCCTCATCAGTACGGAAGAATCTAATCCAGCCAGGACAGAATTCCCAATTGGCAATATTTTGTTTGAAATGCTCTTCTGTGGTTTTTCTCCATTCCGTGAGTAACTTGTAGACTTTAGATTTCTTGTCTGCAAGCAAAACCCAAGTATGTGATGAAAAATGATCAAGAATAACAATCCAATATCTAATACCACCAGGACCTTCAGGTGTTACTGGACCTTCTACATCATATAAGACAATATCTAGAGGTCCACGAGCCACAGTTTGCTTTTTTTATTTTCCCAATGACACAAGATTCACAAAGTTTAGTTTGACCTGTCAATATTGTGATTTCATCAAGTTGACCTTTCTGAACTGCCGTCTGCAGATGTTGCATATTTGTATGTCCAGAAATTCAGTGA